TCTATATCATAACATAGTTTTGTAACACTAAAAAAATTATTCGACATATTTGCTCATATAAATAAATATATAAAATGGGACGGGAGTAGGACGTATAATATTAGTTTCCGAGAAAATTTTTTATCCATTCTCTATCTTTTATTTTCGATTTATACGAAGCATCTCAATAAAATTCAAACTTTTAATTTTTGAAAGATTCCCGAGAAATTCTTCGATTTCTTCCGAAAGCGGATGATTATTCATCTGCTTCTCACGTTTCGTGAATATCCGGGACATTGAGGAATATCCAGAAAAACATTTTTTTTTTCTTAAGTTACATTTTTAATATTTGATTAAAGAAAATAAAATAAGAAGACTGAGTTCAAACAAAACATTATTGATAATAACAAACAAACAAACTAAGACCATTGTATTGTCAAACTGCTAGAAGACAGCCTAACATACATTATCAATTATTATGTTCTTCCTTTCTTTCACATTGCTTTTTTGTATAAAAAAATGAAAAGAAAAAAAATAAAAAGTGTGGCATACGGGTTATTTTTCTACGACATAGTCATCCTATAAATCAATACCGGCCATTTAAGTATATTTTACTCTCACTCGCATGCTTCATACGATTAGCTTTAGAGTTTATGTGAGATCTTATATCGATTAGGGAGGAGAACAAAATATTTTTATAAAGGTGTGGAAACCTCTTTTTAGTAGACGAGTTTTGGAGAAAATACCCGAAAAGAAAAGCCCAAAGAGAACAATATCTACTAGCAATGGGCTTGATCGATTAAGTTGTCTTAGTCATCATATCTTCAAGATCGCTCTTATTCAAACGTAATCTCGGTTCATTCATGTACCTTTTTATGATTCTTTATTATTTAATTTATTGTTGAAATTGACGGTTAGGAGGAAGTGCACTAAAGATCAAAACTTTACTTAATCAGCTGACTCGAGGAGACGGATTCTTACTCTCTTGAGTCCAAACAAAGCTGTTTAGTGAAGTGCTGTTGGTCATGAATTAGGTCAATCCCCAATTGATATCCACTCTTTGAGTCACCTATATAACTCTCTGCGCTCATCATCATACAACCATCAAACAATTTCCTAAGCGAAATGGCTTGGTTTCTTGGCTTTCTCTTCCTCTTATTCATCTTTTCTGCTAATGCTTGTGATCGTTGTGTTTACCAATCTAAGGCTAGCCATCTTTATGATTCTCCAACTACATGTAAAATATTTCTTTTTTATTATACTCTTTCTTGTTCTTAGGATAATTGCACGTACAGATGTTCGTAGAACGGAGTAGAGTAGAGACAAGAAAGTTTCTCTATCTTCATCTCCACCTCCTATTTCATTTTTTTCATCCTCATAAAATTCTTTATTTATTTTCATGGGATTAGGTGGCGATTCACGTTCGAGAATTCATGGGAATCGGGTTCTATGAGATGATTTTTTTTTTTCATTTTTTATATATTTTCTTAAATTATATTCCTTTCAAATAATTTTCTAAAATTCAAATTTCAATAATACTGTTCAATATTTTATAAAGGATTGAAAAGCAGGGTCGGGAAAATGGGATTATTCTCGACCCTATTTAGTTAATGAGTAAAAGTCTCTTACTATCTTTAAAGGGATTGAAGTGGGTCGAGAATGGGATGACAAAAGCAATCCCTGTTCTCGACTCTATTTAGTGAACAATAGAATTCTCCTTCTCTTCCTTCTTTCGTTCTTCATTTAAAAATTTCAGCTCGACAAGTTAAATGAACAACTCGATTTTCATAATATGATGAATTTGTTTATCGATTTGGAACAGATGGGGGAGCATGTGGTTATGGCAACGTGGCCTTGCAGTTCTCTATTGGTTTTTTTTAGCTGCTGTGCCTTCCCTTTACAGACAAGGAGCTGGCTGTGGCGCTTGCTATCAGGTGATTATATCCTTTTGTGTTCAAAGCCATGGATTTTATTTGGCAACTGGGCTTACGCTTTTTTGCTTGCTTGTTTATAGGTGAGATGCAAAAATAGAAGGCTTTGTAACACATTAGGGACTAAAGTGGTGCTGACAGATCAAAACAATGACAATGCAACAGACCTTGTTCTTAGTAAAAGAGCTTTCTTTACCATGGCTCTCAATGGTAAAGGTGCTGACCTCCTCAATCTTGGCGTTGTTGATGTTGAATACAAGAGGTGATGCTCGTAAAATATCATTTTAGTTCTCGTACTTACATTTTCGTTCATATTTTAACATAATCGCTATCATCTTTTAAGCTCAAATATATGAAATGAAACCCAAAAAAATGTGTCTTTTTGAAGGGTGGGTTGTGAATACAAACACAAGAACTTGTTAGTCCAAGTGGAAGAACCAAGTTCTAACCCATATTACCTAGCAATCAAATTCTTATACCAAGGTGGGCAAACAGACATGGTAGCCGTGGACATAGCTGAAGTGGGTACCTCAGGTTGGAGCCATATGAAGAGAAATTATGGAGCTGTTTGGGAAACAAACAACATCCCTGAAGGAGCATTACAATTGAGGATGGTGGTGACTTCAGGCTACGATGGAAAATGGGTTTGGGCAAAATCAGTGCTTCCTGCTGATTGGAAAAGTGGAGGCATTTACGATACTCGAGTTCAAATCAACGACGTTGCTAAAGAGAGTTGCCCGCCATGGCAATGTGGTGATAAGCCATGGAAATGAACAAATATGTTCATATACTCATCTATGTATTAATAAAGAATTCTATCGAATTCCATAATGAAATGATGAAATGTTTTGAATATAAACACTCTGTATGATCTTCATCCTAAAATATAATTTGAAATTGTGACGATAGTAACTTAAAATCATTAAAGAAAAATTATCTTCATCTTAACTGAAAAAAATCAGATTTACCTGATAATCTCAACATTCAAATTTCTATAAAATATATTTAATCATGAAATTTCTATAAAACACCGTTAATCATGAAATTTCTATGATAAAAAAAAAAAAAAAATTATTAGTATAACGAACTTTCAAATTTTTAAGCATTTCTTAGTTATCTTATCTTTATGATTGTCTCATTTAGATATAGTTTTGATTCATTCATATATTTCTCTTTTAATCTGGTGTTACATTAATCGGTGGATGAATTTCGTATAATCTTTTTCCTAAGATTCTATCACCATTTTTTGTATTATTCCAACTTTTGATTACAAAGTTAATTCAAATCGACCCGAATGAAAGCACACGATGAAAAGCCTAAGGGAAATTTTTTGAAAATATGGGTTTGAGCACATAGAAAGCAAGAGCATCCTTAATATTGAATATAAAACCTTCATCATTATAATAAAACAATCAAAATTCAAGTAGTGGAGAACATAAATATTTGTCTTTCACCTAATTTTTCTTTCTTATATTTTACTTCTTTCTCTTTTATAATTATCACTATGAATGCCATATAAAATAGCCACTAATCATTTATATATTATTTATTAATTTTGTATTTCATATATCATACGCATAAAAATGTTTAATGCTTAGTGTTAGATGTCACGATTATGCTTGTCCAAAGCATGTTACCTATAGCGGCATGACAGATGTCTTAGTCTTGCTTGTCTAAGTCGGTTGATAGGGAGGATGTTAAGATCATGCTTGTCCAAATCATATTACTTATGGCCGTATGACAAATGCCCCAGTCTTGCTTGTCTGAGTCGGTTGACAGGGAGGATGTCAAGATCATGCTTGTCCAAATCATGTTACTTATGGCCGTATTGCTTGTTCTAGTCGGTTGACAGGGACGTCAACCAATTGAGTGGGGGAGGATGTTACGGTCATGTTTGTCCAAGGTGTGTTGTCTATGTTGCATGTCCTTTTACCATTTCATATCGGGTCAAGTTTTGTGTTTTTGTTTTCCTCTCCAACCGATGTGGGATCTCACATCAAAAATCCTATTTCTAAGCTTCAAAGTTGCTTCTGAAGTCATCACGATTCGTAAATTTGTGTTTTTTATTAAAAACGATGCATATCATCGAGAAGTTGCCCAAACTAGGCTGTTTTCCTTTTCTTCTAATTCTCTTTATTTCTTCAATTTCGTTCCATGGACTCTATATTCTTCAATAATCACTACAAATCCATAGCAACACGCCTAGCCCACAATCTAAACACGTTACCTAATGAAACAATAGTTTATTAATTGAATAAAACATCTATCATCAACTAAAAATTTAGTTAAAGATTAAATACAACAATTCAAGCTCATCACTATGAGATGTTATCGACTTTAGTTTGTTATATATCGTCATCAGTCTCATAATTTTAAAACGTGTTCATATAAAAAAAAATGTTTTGTTCTCCATTACAACTCGATCCGACTAACGTTAAAAATAGAAAAATTGGACATATTGGTGCATAGTCATCCCCCACAGAAAGGGGGGTTTTGAGTTGATTCTAGTAGTAAGCCCTACCTATATGTATAGTGCGTTCAAAAGGACAAGTGGTTATATAATATAACCCATCCAAAAGCGCCACGCTCAGCTGTAGTTGTTAGTGCGCAGCCCAAATAGGGTCGGTGCGTGCGCCACTGCCGCCGGCCCATATAGTCTCCACTCAAATTCAACCCTCAAAATATCTCCTTCCCTTCACGCGTTTCAATCCCTTTCTCTCTCAGAAAAACAACGACACGTAACGAACTAAAACAGACAATATCTACTAAGAGATGAACTTAGACTCTTACACAATGTCTTTGAGTTGTTACACATTCGTCTTTTCCCATACATTATAAAAGAAATAGAAATTTCAACTTGCGACTATTTCCAACTTAGTCCCATTATTTTTATTCATTTCTTTAAGTCGTTAAAGTTTTCACATCTTTACAATGAATTCTTTTTCCACTCGACAGATCTCATTAAGTTAATAAATTTTATGATTAATATATTTGTTGATTAAAAAAAAATAAGAAATCCAAAAAATCTATCATTATTCCACCTGTATTCCACCATTGGCATTAAGCACCTATAAAAACATCTCCCTCCCCTTGCTTCTCTCTCACTCCAAATCCTCCCAAAAAAAAATGCCTTTCTTCTTCCCCTTTCTTCTCTTCCTCTCCCTCCTCTCCGCCGCCACCGCCTGTGATCGCTGTGTTCATCAAGCCAAAGCAGCCTTCTACCAGGACGATGCCGCCGGAGCATGTACATTTCCCATCCCCCATGCTTTTAATTCTTCAATTTTCCGCTCTTAAACACAAATCCAAACTCGACCCAGATCAAATTTCCACAATTAACGAACTGGGTATGTTTCATTTCTTGCAGACAGAGGCGCCTGTGGCTATGGCGATCTGACACCGGCGCTCGCAAATGGCTACTTCTCCGCCATCATGCCTCCTCTTTACAAGTACGGCGCTGGCTGTGGCGCCTGTTTTCAAGTAAACATTCCCAAACAATCCCCTGTTTCACCTCCCCTGTTTTGCATCTTCGTGATCGGAAATGCTCTGTTTTTGCAGGTACGTTGCAAGAACGACAAAATTTGCACCAAAGAAGGGACCAAAATTGTCGTGACGGATCGAAATGACAACACATACACCGGATTGGTTCTTAGCCAAAAGGCTTTTGGTGAAATGGCTGTGAGTGGGAAAGATGGATTGCTTCTGAGTTATGGAGTTGTGGATGTGGAATTCAAAAGGTGTCTTGGTTTTCAATGATGGGTTTTGTTACACCTACCGTTTTGATTGATTAATATAATCACCCACCTTGATGTGGACCAATTAAAAAGTGGTTTATCTTATGATCTTATCCAAATTTGATGTTTGTTCTTAGTGGGGTTTCTGTTTTTGTAGGATTCCTTGTGAATACAAGAACCAAAACTTGCTGGTTAGAGTGGAAGAATGGAGTCAATATCCAAGTTACTTAGCTATTAAATTGCTTTATCAAGGTGGTCAAACGGAAATTGTCGGGATGGATATAGCTCAGGTCGAGTGATTTTTACTATTTCAAAAGATTACTCTCAAACATATCGTTACTAACGGATTGAGAACATACGACAGGTTGGTTATTCAAATTGGGATTATATGGGTAGGAACTACGGAGCTGTATGGGAGACTAAGAAGCCGTTACCAAAAGGGCCATTGCAGTTGCGGTTCGTAGTGACTTCTGGATACGATGGAAAGTGGATTTGGGCTAAGTATGTGCTTCCTGCTGATTGGAGACCTGGACTCATTTACGATACTGGAGTTCAAATCTACGATATTGCTAAGGAAGGTTGTCCAACAGAGCAATGTGGTGATGGACAGTGGCGACGACGATAAATATATTTGATTGGTCCATCACATTTATGTTATAATATAAAGTTATGGTATTTGATGTCTAATGCCATGTAACGTAACGTAAGAGAAATAAAAGATGAACGGTGTTGTATCATAAATATAAGTAAATAATTAAGTATATGAGTTATTAATAATATAATATTTAGTTATGGGTTCCAATTGGATGGTCTTTTTCTATTTAAAATTGTCTTGTTTTCACACTCACACCTAGTGGATATGAACAAAAGAACGGTAATAAAAGCATAATATGAACGAGTGACATATTGAGGGGAACTATTTTTGTCCTATGTTTAAGATTTTATGCGAGATAAAATCAAATCAGATCAGATCATCATCCGAGACAAAATATATTACGATGAATCAGTATAGTTTTTGTGATTTTTTTGAGTTTTGGAGAGATTCATGAATTTTGCAGTTTCATGAGTAGAATTGTATGTCAAAATTATTCAAATTGAATTGATCATCGTATCTCGTGGAGTATTCAAATATTGGGCTAAGGAATATGCTATTTGTGTCGAGAATTTGTATAGAGTTTACCTCGGTTGAAGAGAGGAACGAAACATTCCTTATAAAAATGTGGAAATCTCTCCCTAGCAGATGCGTTTTAAAATTGTGAAGTTGACAACGATATGTAATTGGACTAAAGCTGACAATATTTGCTAGCGGTGTGCCAGTGAGGACGCTGGACTCCCAAGGGAGGTGGATTGTGAGATCCCACATCGGTTAAAGAGGGACATGAAACATTTCTTATAAGGGTGTGAAGTCTCTCTCTAACAGACTTGTTTTAAAATCGTAAAGCTAATAGTAATACATAACAGGCTAAAAGTAATTCCGTGCCTAACCTAATCCTTAGCATTAGAAATCGAATCGATTTTGAGATTCTAGGTTTATTAATGAGTGGTTCACATATCAAATTGATATCTAATTCTAAAGCAACTAAGCCCACCCTATTTGACCGTTAGATGTATGTCTTCCCAACGGCTATAATGTACGGATGCTATCAATAATGGTTATATAATGAGGGCAAAAAAATAGTTGGCCAAATATTGCTTCTTCTTAGGCTACTTTTCTTTCTTTAAAAATAATAATAATAGTTAAGGTTCGGGTTGAAACATTATAATGGCTGAATGGGTACCTTTTATATACCAATATGAACATAGTTCAACTATCGCTTACGTATCGTTGAGCTAATAAATATATATATATATATATATATATATATATATATATCATTGAAATTGATAGTCTACCTTTTAAAAAAAGTATGTAGGGGACTTAAATTTCTTCTTTTAACATTTTAATTTCATATTATAATTTTAAATAATCAATTAAGTTATATTTTTTTAAGGTTAAAATTAGGATTCAGTTCAAAAAATTCGATCAATTCAATCCAACCGGTTCGAAAAAATGTTGTTTAAAAAAAATCTTTAAAGAAATTCACATGAAACATTTAACAAATTTTTATTATTGAGTTAATATAGATAGTAATAATTAATTTTGTAAATATTTTTTAATTATAAATAAATAAATATTTTTTATTCCAAAAAGTTAATGCGTTGATTGTTATTTTCTTATGCGACTTCCCGAGGACGAACATTTAATTCTTATCGACAAAGCCGTTACCACTTGAGACCCTAATTTTCAAAAAATAATTAAAAAAAAACTTTTAAATAAGATTTTTAATTTTGTTTCACATATTCATTTATATTTCTATGAATTATCATTTTAATTAAATCCTTAAAATTTGATAAAACATAAAAAATTAAAATACAAAATATCACTAGTACCAATATAATATCAATAATAAATATTTTAGTTCGTTGAAAGACAAAATATTTTTTTTATTAATTTAATATTTTTTATATATCTTTTTCAGATCTATCAACATCGACACTTTAAACGTTACATACAAATAACAATCGAATATCTGAACTTTTATTTTTTAATATTTTTTTACGGCAATTTTTTAATTTAGATTTAAATATTAATTTCGTAACAACTTATCTTTAGAATTTAGTATCTGGTTGTCCCAGTATTCTATGAATGATATAATATTTGAAGAATATATTAGATATTATATATTAATATTCTTTTGATTTAATTGGTAGTATATTTTATTTTATTTTTAATATTTAATTAGTTTATATTTTCTTATTGACAGTTATTAGTTGGTAGTTTGTATACTATTTAAAGGTTATGAATATTAATGAGAATACACACCTTCGATTCCAATTCTATTTTTCATTCTTAACATGGTGTTCGAGCATTGATCTTGCTATTTTTAAATATCAAAATTTCCTCTTGAGTTAAGGTTTAGTATCAGAGCCAAACCCAAATCCTTACTCAATCAGTGAAGCCTTTACAACCGCCGATCATCCTGTGATAAGTTTCATCGTGGGAAGTCCAATCGAGTAGCACAACAACCACAACTTCCTGCTTTAAACAACTTCCAAACCGTCGTCATTGCTTCCGAATCTCAATCATTCTACTAGACCGAGAACTTTGGTTGGCAAATTGTTCTCGATCATCTAATATCAAGAATACGTTATAAGCATCTTCAAATTTCTCACCAAGCTTAAAAGTGACATATTCAAGATGTTCGTATTTTCTTTCACAACCTCTCAAGTGATCCAGAGCACCAATCTTGGTGTTACTATCCAACTTCCAAACTTCGAATGTTTATTTAACACATCCTTATTATATTCATTACTCTGATCAGCCAAGATATTCACTTGTTCCAATCAAATTAAATGGAACAAATTACCAATCATAGAATATATAATTTATGCATAAATCAAGAAGCAGCTCTTCAAGTTCTGAGATACATCAAAGACGGTCTAAAAATGCAAACCAATCAAAGACGGTCTATTTTCGATTTTGCATCTTTCTTAGAAAGTCAAGAATTTCTTGAAAGTCTAAAAAGCAAACTAATGTATCAAGATCATCAGCAAATACTTGTTTAGAGTTAACTTAAATATGTTTACTATTGGAAAGACAAAAGTGTTATTGACCTACCCTCTTTATTTTTTGAAAAACAAGTTGGGTGTTATTGACCACACTCGTTAAGACAAGTTGGATGTAATTAACATACACTCTACAACTTGAGGGAAGAATATATTGGTGATAGGAATATGTCATAGATATTATATCTTAATATTCTTTCTTTTATGATTTTGATTAGTAGTATATTTTATTTTATTCTCAATATTTAATTAGTTTATATTTTCCTTATTCATAGGTATTAGTCGGTAGCTTGTATTTTATTTAAATGTTATGAATATCAATGAGAATACACACCTTCGATCCCAATTCTATTTCTCATTCTTAATAGTCTCCTACTATATGCGCACGTTATCTACACCTAATTTGTAAGAGTGAAAACTATCTCCACATACACACACAAGTTTCTCGCTCACATATATTTTAGAAAACTTTTCACGGTGTTACCCAATATTAAATTGTTTCAAGTAAAACATGATTAATCATAAAGTTTATAATATTTTAATTTGATTTATGAAAATTAAAAAAAGAAATACTTTTATAATAAAGTAATATTAATATTTTATAAATATCAACATTCCCAAAGTAGATAAAGTTGTATGGTGACCAAACGACAAGAAGTCCGCCTCGTGCTGGGGCTAAATCAAACATTCCCCATCCTATTATATATATTATTTTCATTTTCTAAAAATTTACTTTTTAATTTATTCATTATTTTAAAATTAAAATTTATTAAATAATAAATTATAAAACATTTGAATTGATATTAAAAAAAAACGTCTATTTATTTATTTTCAAACATTAAATTAAAATTTGCAACTCAATTTTGAAAAATTATTAATTATTTAAGGTTGAAAAATAAATAATAAAAAATAATTATGAAATTAAATAAAATATATACGATAAACAAAATTATTAATAATGAATAATAAAATTGGTAGGTTCTATCCGAGTCTAAACTCATCTAAAACTATATAAATTAGATTGAGTTTTTGAGTCGTACAAGCATTTTCCTATAAATATCGATAAAAAAATTAATAATCCAAACTAAATTAGTAATATGAACCAAACTTAATCTCTAATTCAATCATTTCATAGTGGAAAAAATCAATAAACAAAGTACAAAAGTGGTCGGAGGAACGCTACGCTTTAGTTACCAAGAAACAAGTTCTAAAGGTGACATTCTCGGGTTTTCGACTGTTCCCGTTGTTGGATGATGAAAGTCCCACATCGGTTAATTTAGGGAATGATCATGGGTTTATAATGTAAGAATACACTCTCCATTGGTATGAAGCCTTTTGGGGAAGCCCAAAGCAAAGCCATGAGAGCTTACGCTCAAAGTGGACAATATCATACTATTGTGGAGAGTCGTGTTCGTCTAACACCCGTCATTGAAGGTTAGTTATGTCAAATGAACTCTACTCGATTTAATTTTTTATGATTTAAAGTTATATTTCACTTAAGTGTCAAACGTTGATCTTTCTCGATCAGATCAGATCAAATATTCACATTCTCGAGTATATCGTAGTTACTTCGGAAAAGCTTCGGATCGCTATCCCATTATTGAATTTGCATGATGATTATGAAGAACGTTATTATTGGGTCCAAATGAAAGGGATGCAACAATGGAAGAAGATGCAATGAAGAAACCGCCGTACCTAGTAGGAAAGGAAAGGTGGCATTGTTAAGGGTATTAAAAAGCTTGTGCTCCAGATGTCATCATTTTGATTATCAATCACCAACCTAATCAACAACCCTACGCCATTTCTTTCTACTTCTGCTTCTGCTTCCTCTTCCACCCTCATCATCAACTTCTTAAACTTCCACTTCCTTTCTCTAGCCATCTTATTCTTTCGTCTAATCAATGATTTGACCCTACACAAAACCCTTCACTCAACCCTAAACTTCTCCTTCACAAACCTTACGACTATGCTTATTCTATCCATTTTGGCTTGCTTGTTACGGATCGTCGTTAGTCTCATTGTTTTAAAACGTGTTTAGTAGGGAGAGGTTTACACACCTTTATAAACAATATGAGATCTCACAATTCACCTCTTGTGAGGTAGCGTCCTCACTGGCACACCACTCAATGTTTGGCTTTGATACCATTTGTAACCGTTCGAGCTTACCATTAACAAA